TCCCACCGCAGTGGTACCTATTTATCTACTCTGGTATGCTTCCGAACTGCTAGGTTGGCAGCAGTTGGGACAAAGCAACCGGAGCTCACCCCGTCATGCAGATTCGAACTGCCGACCTTAACAAGTTCAAGAGGTTTGGTGGTTTAGACCACAGTACTACCCACGTCCCTTTAAGTTTATGGGTTTAATAAAGTTTTGGGGTATCAAAGCTAATTTCCTTGGAGGTGATAGCTTGACTCATGTGTGTATTTAAGTCAGACCCAATGTGTATCTAAGCCATGTGCTGGACCTTGTTAATCCTTTATTTAACCAAGTGTAAAAGCTCATTAAGTTAGATAATTTTCATCTGATGTGTTAGTCTGGGGTAGAGCCATTTAAGCGACACAAAGGATAATTAAAAAATCCCATTTGCAAATGAGTGTGTTTAACAACAACAACACCCCGCCCATCTGACTGGGTTGCCTGAACCACTCTGGGAGGCTTCCAGTACATACCCCCAATGAAGGGTTTTCTGTAAAAGACAACTCCAGTGTTTTAGTGTGTTAGGAAAGGTTAGAGTTTAGAATGGAAGTTAGGAATTAAGTAATAGAGTTAGGAAGCAATGTGGGCGAGAAGCAGAGAGAGAAATTAAGTGAAAAGCAGAGTGCAGGAGGCAGAAGAAATATATAGGGTCTGGTTGAAATCAATGCTTCGCTCCTGGAGGAGATAAGACACTCTTGGATTGTAATGCTGTGTATATATGTGTAAATAAACCATATATCATAAAGACACCACAGTCTCCGCTGTGCCTCATTCGAAAAGGAAACACAGACCTTGGGTGAAAGTGAACCTGGTACCCCTGCAATCTCACACCGCTTGGTGATTAGGGTGCCCTGTAACAGCCCCTTTCTTTGACCTGCATGTGGAACCAAATGAGAACACAGCTTAAGAAATTGTAAGTTAGGGCCAGGACCTCACGCAGGGCTCGTTCACACTTTGCTTGTCTCACATCTAGAAAGCTGGGATCTGAGACGTTTTCTGCTTGTCCTGAGCCTTCTTTCACAGTCTGAGCAGGTGGTGTACATGGTTTTCTTCCCATGCTCATTTAATCCCCACACCAACCCTATGAGGTAGATTAGGCTGAGAGGCAGTGACTGGCCCAAGGTCACCAAATGAGCTTCGCAGCTGAGTGAGGATCTGAATCCTGGTCTCCCAAGTCCTCGTCTGACACTCTGACCACTTCACCACACTGGCTCTCTTACTTTAACTGCCATTGTTCTTTCTGATTTCTGAGCTGTTGTGTCTTCCCCCAGTCCTGCATACTGTCCCTTCCTCTCCCTTCTCCTACCCCAAGGTGAAGAAACATGCCTTGGGACAAAGGCAGAAGTGGCAGAAGGCACTCACAGCCCTCAGCAGAGCATCATTTCTCACTGGGGACTGAGGCCACCAGTCAAAGAATTTCTAGCAGGGAACTAATGCTGTGTGTGCCAGTTCCTGCTCAATGGTGGATTATCTCTCAGGGAATGCAATGGAATTGCATATTCTCTGTTTTCCTTGAGGATTCTGGAGCTGGTAGTTGCATTCCCAGTCTCCAGTGGGAACAGACACTCTGCCAGGAGGTGAGAGTGATTTGTACCACATGCCACAAGGTAAGTTTCCTTGGCCTGGAGTAGGGGAAGCAAAAGGCTCCTTGGAGGCTTATGAATATTCACTTTGAATGTTCATAAAGCCTTAACTCCTTTCAGGGTGTAGAAATAACTTTGATTTTTAAAAGGGAAAAAAGTGTTGTGACGTGGGGTTTGTGATTTCAGCTCTCCTGATATAACATGCTGGAGACAGTTCTCTAGTAACACTTCTTTATTAAAGCAACAAGACTAAAGACTGGGGAGAGGAAAGCTACCTTTATAGGGACAGGGAACTAGCAAGAAAGGATACATTTTTGGAGGGAACAATATCAGGCAATCACAGTCCTGCCTTTTGGAGGGAACCAATAAGACAGAGGATCCAAATACAGCAGCTTAAATGAACCAATAGTAGCTGTACCCTCTGGAACCAAAAGGCAGTTACTTTACCCTAATGCAGATACAGACAATAATAATACAGATATAAAATCCTTTGACTCAATACACAACACCCCTTCCCCCCTAGTGAGCACAGCAGACGTAATCTCTCAGGTACTGTGGGGGCCTACCACTTCTACTTGATCTCCTGACAACAGGTGTTGCAGGTTCTGGATTGGGTGTTACCTGTGGTAGAGGGGCTGCTCTAAGGGTTTCGTCAGGAACAGAGGAGTCCCCGACATCTCAGGGTCCCCTATCTGCACCTCGTCATCGTGAGGACTAGCAGACCCTGGTTCATTTGTTAAAGCCCCTGGTGATTGCACCTCTGGGCCATTTTCACTCTGGTCTTGCGGCTCTGCGTCGTTAGCCTGGGATGAATTATCTGGCTCCTCCCTGCTGAGCGCCCGGCGCCTCAGCTGATCAATATGTCTCTTCCACACTTGCCCATTTTCCAAGGTCACATAATAGGACACAGGTCCACTAGCCCGGGTGACCACACCAGCCACCCACCGCGAACCTCGTGAATAGTTCCTCACCCAGACCAGATCTTCAGGGGCGAGATACCTTGTTGTGTCAGTCTCAGCCTGGGGGGTTGCTCTTGAATTATGGTTTGGCATTTTATCCGGGTGGACATAATCCAGCACCGTTACCAGTCTCCTACCCAAGAGCAGCTCAGCTGGCGACTTGCCCGTTGCGGTACACGGCGTCGCATGCTGCAAAAATAACATTCGCGCGATGCGAGCTGACCAGTTACCCTCCATTAAGCGCGCAATGGATTCTTTGGCTGTTCTTACCATGCGCTCAGCCTGCCCATTGGAGGATGGGTGAAAGGGCGCGGATGTGACCCCTCTTATGAAGTTATCAGCCAAGAATGCCCTGAATTCTTGGGATACAAAAGCTGCCCCATTATCTGATACAATGGTCTCAGGTAACCCGTGGGTTGCAAACAGCTGCCTCAACACTTTGATGACGGCAGCTGATGCCATGCTAGGGACCATCGCCACTTCTAACCATTTGGAATATGCATCAACGATAACCAAAAAGACCTTTCCTTGGAATGGCCCAGCAAAATCTAAGTGCAGCCGGCTCCAGGGAGATCTGGACTGCTCCCACCAGTGGACTGGTGCTCTGGCCACTTCTGGCCGCACCTCTTGGCATGCCTTGCATGTTCGTACCCATTGTTCTATGTTCTGGTCCATTCCAGGCCACCACACATAACATCGGGCTAGCGACTTCATCCTGACCATTCCCGGGTGTCCCATGTGAAGCGTCTCAAGAACCCTGTTTCTCAGTGGTGCTGGGATGATGACCCTATCTCCCCACAGGAGACAACCCTTATGCATGGACAACTCGTGCTGCCTAGTCGCATAAGGCCTGAATTTGTCTTCATGCGGACCACCTGGCCACCCCCTCCCCACCCAAGTGAGCACATGGGAGAGAACAGCATCTTTCCTCGTTTTCTCAGCTATATCAGTAGCCGTAACAGGAGCCCCCGGAAGTGTTTCCAGCATCATTATGTGCTCCGCTGGAGCAGGATCCTCAGTGCTCCCGCCAGGAAGGGCAATCGACTCAGCGCATCCGCGTGGCACAACCGTTTCCCGGCACATGGGTCAAGGTGTACTGGAACCCGTTCAGGAACATAGACCAACGTAACATTCTGGGGGGAGAATTTGTGGCGTTTGTTTGTTCGGGTTGAACAACCCTAACAGTGGCTTGTGGTCCGTTTCAATGTAGAAATGGCGACCGTACACATAATCATGGAACTTTTTGATTCCTGCCACAATTGCAAGCGCCTCTTTGTCAATTTGAGCATAGTTGCGCTCCGTGGGCGACAACGTACGGGAATAGAAAGAGATGGGCTTTTCCAACCCATCCTGTTCCCTATGACTTAGCACCGCCCCCAGGCCGTATTGAGAGGCATCACATGCCAGGACCAGAGGCTTTGACTCGTCATAATGAGCAAGGACACTCCTGCTACTCAGCATTCCTCGCAAGGAGTCAAAAGCCTTCTGCTGCCCCTGCCCCCATCGCCACACAGTCTTTTTCTGCAACAGTCTATGTAATGGTTCAGCTACCGAAGCTTTCTGGGGTAAGAACGAATGATAAAAGTTAATAAGTCCCAGGAATGACTGCAACTCCGTCTTGTTCTGTGGCCGTGGCGCCTCGATGATGGCCTTAATCTTAGCATCTGTGGGGTGGATGCCTGATGCATCAATTTTAAACCCCAAGAAATCCACAGTTGGCACCCCAAAACTGCATTTTTCCTTTTCAGTTGCAACCCCACCTCCTTGAACTTGAGCAACACTGCACGAACACGCGCAACCAGTTCCTGTGAGTCTTTTCCAGCAATCAAAACGTCATCAAAAATGGCAAGACCCCGGCAGACCTCTTAACAGGTGTTCCATGAGCCCTTGAAAAATCCCTGGGGCCACACAAACTCCAAATTGTAATCTGTTAACTCTGAACGCCCCTTTATGTGTGACAATAGTCTGTGCTTCCGCTGATTGTGGGGTTACTGGCAGCTGTTGGTAAGCTTGTGCCAGGTCAATTTTGGCGAACACCTTGCCCCCAGCCAGTTTAGCCAACAGATGTGATACGACTGGAATGGGGTATGAGTTTCCCTGAGTGCCTTATTGATAGTACATTTGTAATCTGCACAGATCCTGACTTCCCCATTTGCTTTAAGGGGCGTGACGATTGGAGTCTCCCACTTAGCAGAGTCCACGGGTGAGAGAACTCCCTGCTTGACCAATTTGTCCAGCTCCGCTTCGATCTTGGGTTGCAGTGCAAATGGCACTCGCCTTGGTTTGAGTCGGATTGGGGCTACCCCAGGGTCCAACTCGAAGCCAACTGGGGGCCCTTTATAACAACCCAGTTTTCCATTAAAGAGACCAGCAAATTCTTTGCATAATGCCTCGCTCATCTCAGGGCAGGTTTGGATTGAATTAAGCCCTGATATACTCAGTCCCAGGGCGGGGAACCAGTCAGTGCCCAGGAGACTGGGGCGACTGCCCTTCGCAATCACCAGTTTGAGTACAGCCTGTTTGTCCCGGAACTGTACTCTCACGGCACACATTCCCATAACATGGATGCGGCCCGCTGAGTATGACTGCAAGGTTGCCGGGAAGGGTTCCAGAGGGGGGCAACTTACCCCTGGGGAAGAATGTCCTCGCGGTCTGGTCCGACACGATAGTGAATCCAGATCCGGAGTCCACCTCCATGTCGCACTGCTGACCCTCAATCTTCTCCTTGACGTGTGCCTTGCCTTGTGCTGGGAACTGCACGACCCTCCCGTTGATCTCCGTAACGTAGTGGCAGTCCTTTAGAAAATGGGTTGCTGCGGGCGGTCTGCGATGCTCCGGTCTAGGTGCTCCTGTCGCTCCCAACGCCGCCGATCTACAGACTCTGGCGATGTGACCTGTCTTCCCGCACGTCCGGCACATAGCATCCCGGAAACGACAACTCTTCCGCTCATGGTTTCCGCCACACCCTGGGCACCTGCCTCGGTGATCTTTGTGCACTGTGCAGGCCTGACTCACTGACTCGACCCCACGGACTGGGCTCTGGCTGGGAGTAGCCTCTAGCTCGTCCATGGCATGCGCAACTTCTATCTGTGGCTTAGGGGCCTTGCGACTGGCATCAAGCTCCTCTCTTTCATAATTCTCCGTGGCGGTGGCCTCCTTCAAGGCTGAAGCAAGGGTAATCTCTTCTTTAGCCACGATGCGTCTTCTGGCCTTCTTGCTGCTCAGACCACCGATAAACCGATCCAGGAGAGTCTCTTCCAGATTTTGGAAGTCGCAGTGCTGAGCGAGCTTCCGCAGTTCAGCCAGAAATGCAGATACAGACTCCCAGCATGCTGCTGCCTCTTATGAAACTCCATCCGCCGAGCCATCTTGGTCTCAGTAGGCGCCAAGTGGCTTGTTAGGCAGGCAAGAATATCTTTGAGAGATGTCTCACTTAGCTTCGCTGGAGCAAGCAATGCCTTGGCCAGCTTGAAGGTCTCAGGCCCACAGTAGCTCAGGAATGTGGCCCTTCTTTTGCTGGCATCGGTGATCCCTTGAGCCTCTGCGAAGAACTCGAAGCGTTCGACGTAGTCTTCCCACGTGTCGGGCTCTGATGGCTGGAAGGGCTCCAATACCCTTGGACTCTCCATTGTCCTGTGGCAGGGTCGTCTTCTCAGCTGGCCAGTGAGTCTTGTTCTTAGCTGCAATCCGGACTCTGAGGCAGGGCTGCGTTTAACCGCTCCTCAGAATTCCGGATCCCACCTTCGTCGCCAGTTGTTGTGACGTGGGGTTTGTGATTTCAGCTCTCCTGATATAACATGCTGGAGACAGTTCTCTAGTAACACTTCTTTATTAAAGCAACAAGACTAAAGACTGGGGAGAGGAAAGCTACATTTATAGGGACAGGGAACTAGCAAGGAAGGATACATTTTTGGAGGGAACAATATCAGGCAATCACAGTCCTGCCTTTTGGAGGGAACCAATAAGACAGAGGATCCAAATACAGCAGCTTAAATGAACCAATAGTAGCTGTACCCTCTGGAACCAAAAGGCAGTTACTTTACCCTAATGCAGATACAGACAATAATAATACAGATATAAAATCCTTTGACTCAATACACAACAGTCTCCAGTGGGAACAGACACTCTGCCAGGAGGTGAGAGTGATTTGTACCACATGCCACAAGGTAAGTTTCCTTGGCCTGGAGTAGGGGAAGCAAAAGGCTCCTTGGAGGCTTATGAATATTCACTTTGAATGTTCATAAAGCCTTAACTCCTTTCAGGGTGTAGAAATAACTTTGATTTTTAAAAGGGAAAAAGAATGTAGAACCTCTGATCCAAGTGCTGATTGTGGTTGATGGTACCCATAAAAAGACAATTCATAGTCATTTTCTTTTCTTTTCTTTTCTATTTCTTATTTCTTTGCTTTCTTACCTGTCCTTCCCAACAAAGTCCAAAGCAGGTTAGGATATACAGTCCACAGGAATAAGCCTATTGTTTGTTTGCCTTCTGTGTCTTCACATCAAAGGTTCTTGGTTAAGTAACGTATTGTGTCTTAAAGCTGTAGAAGAAGGCTTTTTTCTTTTCTTTTTTTACATTGGTTTGCTGCCTACATAAAATGATACAGCAACAACAACACACAAAAAATCGGGTACAGATCATTACGCAGAATATGGCTCAGGTGATTTTCATAAAACATACATTTTAAATCTATTATCTGAGTCAGAAACCAGTGATCAGGGCTTGGTAAATCCCATTGTGACAGAAGGTGATAAATAATTACAGTTAATGACACCATGCAAAATGCAATATGGTCCGTGGCATATACAGACAATATGATGCATGGCTGTGTCATTAGTAAGAGAAAGCGATTGAGATTTGCATCCCCCTCTCCCTCCGACCCAACCTCTCTTTCGTAGGACAACCGATTATAAACCCACAGATTCCCTCTCAGACAGATATTAGAAAACTAGTCTAATACCCTTATACCCCCAAATTACACTACCCCCGCCATACTATTTCTCTGATCATTTTTGGAACTGTGCCCATTGACTCAAGAAGGACACTGGCAAACTGGAACGTGTCCAGAGGAGGGCAACCAAAATGGTCAAAAGCCTGGAAACGATGCCTTATGAGGAATGGCTAAGGGAGCTGGGCATGTTTAGCCTGGAGAAGAGGAGGTTAAGGGGTGATATGATAGCCATGTTCAAATATATAAAAGGATGTCACATAGAGGAGGGAGAAAGGTTGTTTTCTGCTGCTCCAGAGAAGTGGACACGGAGCAATGGATCCAAACTACAAGAAAGAAGATTCCACCTAAACATTAGGAAGAACTTCCTGACAGTAAAAGCTGTTCGACAGTGGAATTTGCTGCCAAGGAGTGTGGTGGAGTCTCCTTCTTTGGTGGTCTTTAAGCAGAGGCTTGACAACCATATGTCAGGAGTGCTCTGATGGTGTTTCCTGCTTGGCAGGGGGTTGGACTTGATGGCCCTTGTGGTCTCTTCCAACTCTATGATTCTATGATTCTATGACTTTCCTAGAGGAAATGGACTGAGCATAGTTGGGAACAGCTGCAGCTGGCTTCACACAAGGAAACTGTTTAATAACTGAGGTTCCCAAATTTTGAGCACAATCATAATTCAGAATCAGTTTGGGGAATTGCAGGCATAGCTATGTATCCCCAGGGCCAGCCCAGGACATTTTTGCATCTGAGGTGAACCACAGCATGTGTCAGCATCGTCCGTGCCCCCACACCATGCAAGCTGAGAAGGACCTTTGCCCCTTTTGTACACCAAGCACTCAACAGCCCCCAGCCAGCATGGCCATTGATCAGGGATGATGTGACACCAAATAGTCAATGTTGGGTAGTGGTTGGAGTGATGGACGTGGGCCTAGGAGACCAGGGCTAAAATCCCCACTTAGCCATGAAACTCATTGGGTGACCTTGGGATAATCTCTCTCTCTCTCTCTCTCTCTCTCTCTCTCTGCCTAAACCTACCTCACAGGAATGTTGTGGGGATTAAATGATAAGGGGTAGAAGATACAGACACCACCTTGAGCTCCTAGGATTAACAGGTGGAGTATAGAGGCAATAAATAAATATGGATCCGAGTGGAGGAGGCACCAAAGGCAAAAATGAAGCAGCAGGTGGGTGGGGGAAGATGGAAGGCAAACAAGCGAGGGAATGGGTGGGCAAGGAAGGAGGAGTTGATGGGCAGGCAAAAGACCAAAAGGCTGCCATGCAGATTATTTGCATGGTGGGGGTGCTGTCATTAGTAACAGAATCCTTCTGAGATTTCCATTTCTTTCCACACCATGATCTCATCATTTTAAAAGCCCAAGTCAGTTTCCATTGCTGTACATCTGAAAGAAACCAGGAGAATTACACGCTGATACTTCTTCCACTCAGGCATTTTTGGCAGAAAGTAACAACAATGGGCATAACTACTCCATTTGGCATCTTTTTCCAAACCTTTTTTGCAATTGAGTCCACTGTTGCCTTTTTAGGAAATGGATTTATCATAGTTGTGAATGGGCACCGATGGCTCCAAAACTGGAAGATGGCCCCTTGCGACTTCCTCTTGACCAGTTTAAGCACCTCCAGAATTGTGTTGCAGCTGACCATCATGATAAATAATATTCTGTACAACAGCCTTCCACAGAACTATACTGGTACTTGGACACCGGAGATTGGCACATTTTTCTGGTTATTTTTCAGCAATGTTAGCCTCTGGTGTGCCGCATGGCTCAACATTTTCTACTGTGTGAAGGTCACCAACTTCCCCCATCACCTGTTCCTCTGGCTGAAGCTAAGGATTGATGTACTTGCACCCAGACTGCTTGGAATGGTAATAATAGCTCTCATGCTCTTCTCTGTTCATCCAACCATTCTTTATTTTGAAAACAAGAAGGCCTGCAATCTCTCAAGAACTCTGGCATGGAATGCCAGTCTCAACAAGGTTTGCCACGACCCATACTTCCTTTTTAGAACTCTACATATATGTTTTTTATGCATGAGTTTCATCCTCAGCGTAATGGCATCCGTGGTTTTACTCATCTCTCTTTGGAGGCACAGAAGGAATCTCAGAAAGAGTGGCTCTGTCATTAAGGACCTCAGCACTCAGGTCTACCTCAATGTCATGAAGTCTTTGTTGTTCTCGCTGCTCATTGACATTACGTATTTTGCTGCTGTAATCATTCCTACGACAAATTTGTTCTGGTATGGCACAATTGGCCAATTCGTTTCTGATATTGTGCTGTCTGCATTCCCTTCAGCACATACCATGATCCTAATATTGTCCAATCCCAAACTGAAAGAAATCTTAATGCACATTCTACACATCAGACGAAGGGCAACCTAAAGAGAAGAAGGCTGTGGACATGCATCCCTTGCATCCAAGAAGACAAGATTTTTCCCTCCCTCCCAATATAAAACTTGCCTCAGATGTACTGTCTGCTGTATTTCATAATACAATAACATGAAAATGGTATCTAAGTAAAAAGAAAAACAGAGAAGAATAAAGAAAAAAAATGCAGAGTTCTCTCAAAAAGTAGATCTTGACCCTTGTCTTAAACAGAGTGAAATGCCAGCATTGCTGAAGTTGGCCTGTTGTTGTTGAAAAGGTCACTTCAGTGGGATGCATTTTCACCTTGCTTATCCCCAACTCCTTTATCTCAATCACTTACATCCATGTCGTGGCTTCCCAGGACCTGGGAAATTCAACCTGCCAAGGACAGCACAAAACATTCTCTGCTTGTGTCTCTCATGTATCAGTGGTGGTGCTTTTCTATGGCAGCGCCATATTAATGTACATGAGACCTGAGTTGAGCCACTCCCCTGGTCAGGACAAAACAATCTCTCTGTTTTATAACATTGTCATTCCCTTGTTTAATCCAAATATATACAGTCTGAAGAACAGAGATGTGAAAGAGGCCTTGATTAAAATTCTCCAAAGGTGCAGAAGACCTTGTTGATCCACAGGCATACATGAGATGCTACGTTCTACTAATAGTCCAGCAGGTCCACTGTGGTTGTCTCTTTCTGGCAGTGTCTATGCAAGGTTTGAGGCAAAGACTCTGCTATTTGTGAAGCTTGTGTTGTGGGTTTTTGTTTTTGTTTTACGGATGATAGGGATGGAACCTAAGATCTTCCAAGTACAAAGCCTTTTCTCTGCCACTGAAATATGACCCTGTTATAGGTTTTTGGATTTGGTAATGGTAAAGGTAATCAGGCCAAGGGAGCTGGCGTTTGTCTGCAGACAGCTTTTTCTTGGTCATGTGGCCAAAGACTAAACAGCTTCTGGCGCATGGAACACCATGACGAGTGCCAGAGTGCACGGAAACACCACTTACTTTCCCACCGCAGTGGTACCTATTTATCTACTCTGGTATGCTTCCGAACTGCTAGGTTGGCAGCAGTTGGGACAAAGCAACCGGAGCTCACCCCGTCATGCAGATTCGAACTGCCGACCTTAACAAGTTCAAGAGGTTTGGTGGTTTAGACCACAGTACTACCCACGTCCCTTTAAGTTTATGGGTTTAATAAAGTTTTGGGGTATCAAAGCTAATTTCCTTGGAGGTGATAGCTTGACTCATGTGTGTATTTAAGTCAGACCCAATGTGTATCTAAGCCATGTGCTGGACCTTGTTAATCCTTTATTTGACCAAGTGTAAAAGCTCATTAAGTTAGATAATTTTCATCTGATGTGTTAGTCTGGGGTAGAGCCATTTAAGCGACACAAAGGATAATTAAAAAATCCCATTTGCAAATGAGTGTGTTTAACAACAACAACACCCCGCCCATCTGACTGGGTTGCCTGAACCACTCTGGGAGGCTTCCAGTACATACCCCCAATGAAGGGTTTTCTGTAAAAGACAACTCCAGTGTTTTAGTGTGTTAGGAAAGGTTAGAGTTTAGAATGGAAGTTAGGAATTAAGTAATAGAGTTAGGAAGCAATGTGGGCGAGAAGCAGAGAGAGAATTAAGTGAAAAGCAGAGTGCAGGAGGCAGAAGAAATATATAGGGTCTGGTTGAAATCAATGCTTCGCTCCTGGAGGAGATAAGACACTCTTGGATTGTAATGCTGTGTATATATGTGTAAATAAACCATATATCATAAAGACACCACAGTCTCCGCTGTGCCTCATTCGAAAAGGAAACACAGACCTTGGGTGAAAGTGAACCTGGTACCCCTGCAATCTCACACCGCTTGGTGATTAGGGTGCCCTGTAACAGCCCCTTTCTTTGACCTGCATGTGGAACCAAATGAGAACACAGCTTAAGAAATTGTAAGTTAGGGCCAGGACCTCACTCAGGGCTCGTTCACACTTTGCTTGTCTCACATCTAGAAAGCTGGGATCTGAGACGTTTTCTGCTTGTCCTGAGCCTTCTTTCACAGTCTGAGCAGGTGGTGTACATGGTTTTCTTCCCATGCTCATTTAATCCCCACACCAACCCTATGAGGTAGATTAGGCTGAGAGGCAGTGACTGGCCCAAGGTCACCAAATGAGCTTCGCAGCTGAGTGAGGATCTGAATCCTGGTCTCCCAAGTCCTCGTCTGACACTCTGACCACTTCACCACACTGGCTCTCTTACTTTAACTGCCATTGTTCTTTCTGATTTCTGAGCGGTTGTGTCTTCCCCAGTCCTGCATACTGTCCCTTCCTCTCCCTTCTCCTACCCCAAGGTGAAGAAACATGCCATGGGACAAAGGCAGAAGTGGCAGGAGGCACTCACAGCCCTCAGCAGAGCATCATTTCTCACTGGGGACTGAGGCCACCAGTCCAAGAATTTCTAGCAGGGAACTAATGCTGTGTGTGCCAGTTCCTGCTCAATGGTGGATTATCTCTCAGGGAATGCAATGGAATGCATATCTATGTTTTCCTTTGGGTGATTCTGGAGCTGGTAGTTGCAGTCCCAGTCTCCCGTGGGAACAGACACTCTGCCAGGAGTTGAGAGTGCTTCCCACCACATGCCACAAGGTAAGATTCCTTGGCCTGGCGTAGGGGAAGCAAAAGGTTCCTTGGAGGCTTTTGAATATTCACTTTGAATGTTCATAAAGCCTTAACTCCTTTCAGGTTGTAGAAATAACCTTGATTTTTAAAAAAGGGAAAAAAGAATGTAGAACCTCTGATCAAAGTGCTGATTGTGGTTGATGGTACCCATAAAAAGACAATTTACAGTCATTTTCTTTTCTTTTTTCCTTTTTTCCTTTTTCCTTTGCTTTCTTACCTGTCCTTCCCCACAAAGCCCCAAAGCAAGTTATGATATACAGTCCACAGGCATAAGCCTATGTTTGTTTGCCTTCTGTGTCTTCACATCAGAGGTTCTTGGTTAAGTAACATGTTGGTGTTAGAGCTGTAGAAGAAGGCTGTTTTTTGTTTTGTTTTTACAATGTTTGGTGCCTACATAAAATGATACAACAACAACAACAACAACACAAAAATATCACTCAGGTGATTTTCATAAAACATACATTTTAAATCTATTATCTGAGTCAGTAACCAGTGATCAGGGCTTGGTAAATCCCATTGTGACAGAAGGTGATAAATAATTACAGTCAATGTCACCATGCAAATTGCAATATGGTCCTTGGCGTATACTAACAACATGATGCATGGCTATGTCATTTGTAAGAGAAAGCAATTGAGATTTGCATCTCTCTTCCCCCCACCCAACCTCTCTTTTCGTAGGACAACCGATTATAAACCCACAGATTCCCTCTCAGACAGATATTAGAAAGCTAGTCTAATACCCTTATACCCCCCCCAAATTACACTACACCCGCCATACTATTTCTCTGATCATTTTTTGAACTGTGCCCATTGACTTTCCTAGAGGAAATGGACTGAGCATAGTTGGGAACAACTGCAGCTGGCTTCACACAAGGAAACTGTTTAATAGCTGAGGTTCCCAAATTTTGATTGCAATCATAATTCAGAATCAGTTTGGGGAATTGTAGGCATAGCTATGTATCCTCAGGGCCAGCCCAGGACATTTTTGCATCTCAGGTGAACCACAGCATGTGTCAGCACCGTCCGTGCCCCCACACCATGCAAGCTGACTAGGACCTTTGTCCCTTTTGTACACTCAACAGCCCCCAGTCAGCATGGCCAATGATCAGGGATGACATGATACCAAAGAGTCAGTGTTGCATAGTGGTTGCATAGTGGATGGGCCTGGGCCTGGGAGACCAGGGCTAAAATCCCCACTTAGCCATGAAGCTCATTGGGTGACCTTGGGATAATCTCTCTCTCTCTCTCTGCCTAAACCTACCTCACAGGAATGTTGTGCGGATTAAATGATAAATGGTAGAAGATATGGACACCACCTTGAGCTCCTGGGATTAACAGGTGAAGTATAAAGGCAATAAATAAATATGGATCCGAGTGGAGGAGGCACCAAAGGCAAAAATGAAGCAGCATGTGGGTGGGGGAAGAAGGGAGGCAAACAAGCGAGGGAATGGATGGGCAAGGAAGGAGGAGGTCATGGGCAGGCAGAAGACCAAAATGCTGCCCTGCAGATTATTTGCATGGTGCGGGTGCTGTCATTAGTAACAGAATCCTACTGAGATTTCCATTTCTTTCCACACCATGATCTCATCATTTTAAAAGCCCAAGACTCCAGAGTTTCCAATGCTGGACATCTGAAAGAAACTAGGAGAATTGCACGCTGATACTTCTTCCACTCAGGCATTTTTGGCAGAAAGTAACAACAATGGGCATAACTACTCCTTTTGGGATCTTTTTCCAGACCTTTTTTGCAATTGAGTCCGCTGTTGCCTTTTTAGCAAATGGATTTATCCTAGTTGTGAATGGGCACCGATGGCTCCAAAACTGGAAGATGGCCCCTTGCGACTTCCTCTTGACCAGTTTAAGCACCTCCAGAATTATAGTGCAGCTGACCATCATGATAAATAATATTCTGTACAACAGCTTTCCAGAGAACTATACAGGTAGTTTTACACAGGTGATTGGCACATTTTTCTGGTTATTTTTCAGCAATGTTAGCCTCTGGTGTGCCACATGGCTCAATATCTTCTACTGTGTGAAGATCACCAACTTCCCCCACCACCTGTTCCTCTGGCTGAAACTAAGGATCGATGTACTTGGACCCAGGCTGCTCGGAATGGTGGTAATAGCTCTCATGCTCTTCTCTGTTCATCCAACCATTCTTTATTTTGAAAACAAGAAGGTCTGCAATCTCTCAGGAACTCTGGCATGGAATGCCAGTCTCAACAAGGTTTGCCACGACCCATACTTCCTTTTTAGAACTCTACATATATGTTTTTTATGCATGAGTTTCATCCTCAGCGTAATGGCATCCATGGTTTTACTCATCTCTCTTTGGAGGCACAGAAAGA